TCTCTCTCTCTCTCTCTCTCTCTCTCTCTCTCTCTCTCTCTCTCTCTCTCATTTATTTATGTGTTTTATGTAAGTACACTGTAGCTGTCTTCAGACACAGCAGAAGAGGGCATTAGATCCCATTACAGATGGTTGTGAGCCACCGTGTGGTTGCTGGGGATTGAACTCAGGTCCTCTGGAAGAGCAGTCAGTGCTCTTAACTGCTGAGTCATCTCTCCAGCCCTCTGTGTTCTTTTGAAAGCTTCCTTTTCTTTCCCCTTTCCTTCTGCCTTGAGTTAAGTAGCTTTCTTTCCATCTTAACAAGATTTTCCTCATTGACTTGGCCCTGGTCTTTATGAATTGTCCTAGCACGTTCAAAAAAAAATCCTTTCTAAAATCTTTTAAGAGGAAAAGTGTGGTTTATTGAGGTTCAATTTATATGCGAAAACATTTGTCCCTTTTAATTTACTAGGTTTCAACACCTCTCTCCTTGTAAGAATCTGCAATCCATGTGGTTCCTTTGGTTCTCTGTTCTAACCCCAGCTCCCAAACCCTGGGGCTTGGGAACTACTACTATGTCCCCTCTTCTGAGAGTTCTCTTCCAAGCCCCTTTCATCCATGCCTAACAGTCTACACCTAACGGTCTGCCTTTTTAAAAATTATTTTTTCAGAGGAAGTCAAAAATTCCTTGATTTTTCTCCAATATCTTATTGTTTTGATTTACATCAATAAATGCATTTATGGTCTTTGTTTCCATCTTCTGGTTTGCCTTTTTTCCTGGTTTCATAAGATGGAGATTTAGTATATTGGTTTAGGATCTGTCTTGCTGTCCACTATAAACACATAATGATGTAAGGTCTCCCTTAAGAATATTTTTAGCTGTATCTCGTAGATTTTGAAATGCTGCATTGACGTTCAAATTTTTTTTCTGGTTATGGTTGCAACTTCCTCTTTCTTTTTCCTTTACTACTTTAATTTTCTCTTCTTGAAATGCACCGCAGGATGGCCTGGAAGTCCAGCTCTTCCTGCCTTCACTCTTCAGCATGCCCTACCTCTGTGTGTGCCACCGTGACCAGCAGGACTTTCAATTTCATTTGTTGGTCCTTTTTTGTTTAATTTTTAACCTCTTACAGGAGGTTTCTAGTGACTTCTCTATTATTTCTGGCTTAATTCTGCTGCAGAAATGGTACTTTGTAAGAGTTCTGCCCTTTGGGGTTTTCCGAGGCGTGGTCCACCCCACGTTCAACTGTGCTGTGCTTTTTCTAACACGTTGGAGCCTTTTTAGGAGCTAGTTCTTTCAACATCCTCATCCCAGCCTCTCACCTAGAGGTAGGTGTACATTCTAACACTTAAATGCCGTGCTAAACCAAGCTTCTATGCCACCAGGACAGGGAAAATGTATTCATTTCTTAAACAGATGCGCTGTGCTCATATGCACCGCATCTAGGCCGATGATTTTAAATCGCCAATGGTATTTCCTGGGGGTAGGGATGCTGCAGCTCGTACTCAGGGCTCCCAGAGAGGAGGAAGGCAGCAAGTGACATCATCTCTTCACTGCTCTCTTCAGGCTCACTCATTGTGTGTCTTTGTTGCCAGCCTGCACCTGCAGTCCTTTCAAGCCCAATTGTGATGTCTTGGCTCTTCTAAGCCAAATATGTATCCTCTTGTCTATTACCCAGGTAATTTCTCCTGAGAAATTACCTCATGTAACAGTCTGCCTGCTCACTCAGGCAGGACATCCCTCTAATTACATAGCATGCAAAATAGATGGGAAACCCATAGTCATAGTCTGGCCAATGGCGTGAGCAATTCTCCACGCATGGCACATAGGTTGTCCCTGTTCAGAGATGCCTTAGTTGCTAGGTCAGTTGCTGGAACTGGTCATCCCTTTAAAAAACGGGGCTCTTTCAGCATACCTGGAGGCAGAGGCCAATAAAAAGCAAAGCAAACAAAACAAACCCTGTCAACGGGAAGAGCGGACCAGCTCACTTTCCTGAGAGCATCTGTGCTTCTTCAGTCCTGCACACCTATTCACGTGGTCACACATCTGGAAAACATCTCTGTGATAACTTGCTTCTGACATGTACTCCCACAGCTCATGCTTGGATGTTAGTCTGGGAAGCTGTGGACCCTTGCTGGGAAAAGTAGGCCACTGGGGTAGAGGTCACGGTTTGAAGATTGTAGTCTGGGGCTAGCTCCTGACTTGCTCTCTCGGCCTCCTGGTTTGCTGTGATGAGAGCAGCCTGTACCACATGCTCCAGCTGATCTGCTCCTCTGTGCCTTGGGGACTGAAACCATGAGCCAAAATACATCTGTCCTCCTATGTTTCTGTCTAGTATTGCAGTCATAATGATGACAACCCCCACTGAGTTGATCTCTGAAAACGCCCTCATTGTACCCTCCCAAAGATCTCTCTCTTAGGTGATTCTAAATCCTGGTAAGATGAAAATCAGGACCAACCATCACACCTTCTATCCTGGTATCTGATGTAAACTAGGATAAACTGTGTGTGACACTGAATGACAGTGACCGTTCTGTATGTACCCTTGCCTTTCTCCCCATTCAGAGCCCTGGGAAGGAGCCGTTTCCACCAGTATCCTAGGAAAACAGTGATATTATTCTGAGGAGAACAGGAGGAGAGTTTGTTTCTCTCAGAGGTTGTATCTCACCGTGTCCCTGCCTCCATAGGTTATGTCAAGGGTACTCTGCCCCTGGCTGTCTCATTAGACCTCCCTGAGGGACAGACTAAACTTCTCAGGGTGTTAGGTTGTCTGACTGGTCTTTGTTCTTATGTTAAACTTTCCAGAGAGATGAAGTGAATTTGCATGAACAGTAACAATCCAGAGACTGATTGCTTAGAAATTAGCATGAGACTGGTGTATTATAGGCATGTTGAATATTCCTGTTCTGTAATGGAAGGAGGGGTCCTATCAACCTGAACTCTCCTTCCTCCCTTACTCCAGCTCTTCCATTTCTCTCCAGTCCTTCCTCTTGTCTATCAACTGATCCTCAGTCAGCACTAGCTAGTAGTTGTATCTCATTTAACCCT